TAAAAAATTAAAATGGAAAAATATGTCAGAAAGCTTTGGGATCACTTAAATTATTAAGCTAACTGTCTTAAAACTCTGTGTAGGACTTGTGAAAATATTATATACCAGAAAATTCTTGGTAAGCTCGTTTATGTTTCTTGTGTAATCATCTGTAAAACAGATGGACTAAGCCTCTTAAAGTCTTCACTAATTTTTTCATGTTCACATTACATGGAGGTTCCTTTACTCTTTTCTCATCTGTGCAGTTTCTCATCTGCTCTGAAGGGCAATGGAAGATACCGATTTACAGACATGTGTAAGACAATGGTTCTTAAAGAGCTCGTGGAAAAGCACTAACTCCTCATTCTTTTCTCTCTGTTTTGCCACATGCAAAATTCTTAAGTGGAAAAAAATTAGCCTAATTGATGAACATTTTGTACAGAAAAGAATAAGTTAAAGAAAACCTTTTTCACTTGAAAAAAATCTAATCCAGACCTCATACATACTGCATATACGTTCTTTAATACATACTCCTTTCCTCTGTCCAATTCCACCAGGGTGCTGCAGCCCTTTTATTTTAGGATTGGTGAATGTCTTCTGCAAAAAAGTAGATATTAAATATTTTAGGTTTTGCAGGCCATACAATCTTTGCCGCAGCTACATAATTCTGCTGTTTTAGGTGAAAGCAGCTACAGACAGATACAAAAGCAGATGAATCTAGCTGGGTTCCAATGCAACTTTATTTGTGGGCACTGACATTTGAACTTCATATCATTTTCACATAATGTTATTCTTGTATTTTCCCCCCAACTATTTGTCAATGCAAAAATCATTCATAACTTGTGGGTTATACAAAAATAGGTGTCAGGCCAGATTTGGCCTACAGGCTGTAGTATACAGTAAGACAATTCCGAGTCTAGCGCAGGGCTGTTTTTTAAGGGCTGGGTAGCTTTCACTCAATCACAATCCAGAGGAAAGCTCTCTAATGATGGTTCTGTTTACAAAGTTTTCCCATATGACACATTCAAAACTTTATGGATCAACAATATGTCCATGGTTTTCTATTGTATGTCTGAAAGGTTGTCCCACTTTATTAGATGGTCCATTGAAAACCATTTGAAGATCTTGCAATGACTTTTTTTACTTTTCATCAAGAAAAAGTATATTTAAAATAATGCATAAGGGTTATAAGATGAAGCCTGACTGTAGGGAACATGGGCTCTGTTCCTGGTGTGGAGAGTTCAGTTCTTTGACCAGATAAATGAGTTGACTGTTTCACATCTCATTGAGACTGAAAAGTCAGAATTCGCAGGTGTTGTTACTAAAGAGTTACATTAAATACTGAAGGAGATGAAGGGGAAAAAGGTGCCTGTGTCTTCTGGAGTACCCACATTTTCAGAAAAAAAAAAGTATGTTCTTTTGTATGCCATAACATACAACGGAAAACATGAATATTTCTGAATAGGAATAGGAATCTAGTGAGTAACCCGCTCTGAATATTTTGGAGGAGAAGAAAATCTAAACCCAAGAGTGAGATCATGTGAACTATAGCAGAAAACACACATAAGAAAAATTTCATGGTTTTCCTATGGGCCTGCTATTACCAAGAGAGGTTCGGTTTAGGGGTCTGTAAAAATGTTTTCTTCCTTTAAGTATCATGCTCTGAGCCAAGACATCATGAGTTCCAGGCTCAGTCAGTTCCAGCTGAAAGTGTGAATGTTCAGCAAGAGGATATTTTTGAAAGGAGACTGAAAATCTGCTGTGCCAGATACCTGAAACGATGTTAGGGTATTCAGTGGAAAATTTCATTTCCACATTATAAATAACTGTAGGATATTTTAAGGGATCCAAGACTGGCAACTTCCAAGGGCTGCTTATATTAGTTCCACTGAAATGTGAAATGGAGGGAAGATGCCCAAGGAAGGCTATAAAGCTAAATTACCAGACATGATTAATTAAAACAAATAATTCACCATTGATTAAATTGCCCTTAAAATCCCCAGTCAGGGTACCCGACCACTGAGGCCTCCACATTTTACTACCCACCAAGTAAAACAAAGAAAGGAATGAACAGAGATGGAGAAAGAGAGGAAAATTCCCCAACATGATGACTTAAATTCAAACTGCCCTAGAGTCTTTTATTCAAAAAGCCCATCTGGTCGCCTCTCTTTGAAATACCGGCTTAGCGTCTTCAAATGTTCTGGGAGTTCCCTACTCCATGGATTTCCGGGAGGAGGACAGCCCCAGAGAAGGCTGCATATCACCTATCATGGTAGTTAATGAATTTGTACCTACCTTTGACCACGGAAATAATACAGTTCCTGTAACTTTTCCCCTCAAAACCAAAGTCAGACATCTCTATTGAGACAGTGGTACAACATGCCCCAAATAAAACCTTCCCGCTAAAGGGCAACCAAACCAAATCAAACCAAACGAAAATAAAGCTAGCAAGCCCGGGCGCGCGCGCGCCTGTGTACCGACGAGTGTCGGTGTGTGCCTGTGCGACAGTGTGTGTCCGAGTGTACGTGAGTGGGTGTGCAAGGTAGAGTAATGGACGTACTCTGGTCTCTCTCTTTTCGGAGGGGTAACGGCCGCTAGCTGCTGGGGAAGACTGGACCTTGTGCGCGCACGCGGCGCTGCGGTGCCCGGGGTTAGAGCTCTCCCCTGTGACGGAAAAGATAATTAAACATCGCACGCGCAAGAGACCGCTCAGTTCCTCGCTGCGCGTCCAGTTCAGCGCAAGAAGTGGGTTCTCTCGAACCCTCTCCGCGCCGGGGGTGGGGGCCCGGAGGCCTTGCAGGCCAGGGGCGAGGAGTCGGTCAGGGAGGGGGTGTCATCGCGGGTGATGCAGAATGTGTCACCGGGCCGTGGGATGGCCGAGGAGGCGGGAGGGGCGCGGCGAGGAGGCTCGCGTCTGTGGGGGGATTTGGGGGAGAGGCGGGAACGTGGAGAGAAAACCGCGCACGAGGGAGGCGTGGAATAGTGAATGGAGGAAGAGAAGGTAACAATGCAGCCCCGGAGAGGAAGGGAGGAGCAGCGTCCCCTGAACCCCGTCCTTACCCCCGGGAGGGCCCACGCCTAACCGACCACCTCGAACACCCCACCTCCGCTCCAGCTGTTGGAGGCCCCTCTATCGCCGGCGCATCTCTTTAAAGGGCAATCCTCGTGTCCCAGACACATTACGATAGCCCTCCACGTTCCCTTTGCTCTTGAACTGGGCTCCACAGTCCGTGATGGGCACCAGGTCCCCTCTTGAGTGCCCACACGCCCTCGAAGCCCTGCCAGGCCCCTTCAAAGGCGCAGACCCCGTGCTCCCGCTCAGCAAGTGGACGCAAGGCTTTAAAAACCGGGAGGGAGGGTCGTGTGGCAGGTCGCTCCCAGGGTGACACAGGCGTTTGCGCTGAGTGAGCAGTAAAAACGCCAATTAATGGGCACGTGAATTGTTTTAAATCAGATGGGGGGGGGGGAAGAGTGATGACTCAACCGTCTTTCTTCCTTAATACTCAAGAGGGGGAAGCGTTATCATTTTTCATTTATTTTATAAAATCACTTATTGTGGCGTCAGCTACCCTGTTACGAATCTTTGAAACTTTGGCAACTAGGACTGTTTTTGCAAACACGTTTTCAGGCTTTGGGAAGCTTAAAGGAGTTTGACAGTAAGCAAGGAACGTAGCAATACACAACCAGGAGGGGAAATGGCCCTCTGTCCCCTTTTTGGGGGTGCAAGAGCCTCAAGCGGATTTCCCGGCTTCCGCGGGCGCCGCACATTGTTTTATTTGTTTTGAAGGTTCCGAGTTTGAGGCTGGTCGGAGACACCCACGTGCTTCTGACTCTCATCAGCGTAATGATCGCCTTAGCCAGAGTCGTGTCTATATAAACCACAAAAACCTAATCATTAGAAATCCCAGCCTCCAAAAACCACATTTTAGGTAAAACTGCCGCTTTTTTTCCGTGCTCCTTCATCCTCTCGACCGCAACTTTTTGGGGGATCCAAAGTCGCTTTTTTAACCCACATTGGGAAATAAATACATAAATAAATAGCCAATGAAGCATTTTGGATATTTTATTTTGTATTTTTATCTTTTGCCCCCCCCCCCCGGGAGTGGTGGGGAAGAAAGTTAAGGCGTTAGTCTTAGTTTTAGATGCAGAATAGACTTAATAAAAAATTGCAATTTACGGAAAACTGCTGGGGTTTTCCCCCAGCAAGGTTTTTTGCAACTTATTTTAATCATCCAACTGACAGTTTTCCAGTCGTTAAAAATAAACCTCATCCTTGTTCTCTAGGAACGACAAGTTTGAATATAGAAGGAAAAAGTGTCCAGCCACGCACTTGAGTTTCTAAAAACTATTTGACAAGTGTCCCCTCCACCCCAATTTTCTGTGTCACTTAAGACTAAAAGGCACCCAAACCCTGCAAAATCATTTTTTCCCTGGGAGCCGCTCCGGCAGAGGTGGGGGGTGGGGTGGGGGAAGGGTGAAGAGTGCCGAGAAGTCAGCACAGACGCTCAAGAATTTTCCTTCCTCCTCTCCTGAAGTTACAACGAAAAATAACGACAGTCAGTTCAGCCGGCCGCTCTGGCGTCTCCGCTTCAACTTCGTGCGACCAAGAGGGGGTTCCTGG